TACAATTACATACGTTCTTATTATTTATCAAAATCAAAATCTAATACAAGGTGATACTCGTTTAAAATGCTATTCAAGAATATTATAGGAAACTGAAATTAAGAAACTGAAATAATTCGAAAAAGAATAATTTTCTTTCATAAAAATTTCTTGTAGGTATTCTAAAAATACCTACAAGACGATTTGCATTAACTATAGTGAAATCAACCTATAATTGTCACTTAGAGAGTCTTTTGAAGCGTACACAGTCCAACTCATTGATAACATCCTACCAATGCAGCTTTAATATTTTGTCAATCCCTACTTATACTGCAACGAGTTTTAATAACATATCGAAACCAACCATCATTTTGTCAGTTTTAAAGCATCTCTCAATAGCGTTATAATGTATCACCAAAATATCTGAACTTAGCATCCCAACAAAGTTAAAACACCTTTGAAGAATTACGTTAAATTCTACCCACAGCGATAACTTAAGCAATGGTCTCCTCAATAACATTTCCTCGCTTATTGTTGCCTTTGCTAATATCGAAAAAGAAATCTGAGAAAGTGTGCTTAACAATGAATACAGGCAAATCGAAGTATATAGAATCTTTGGTCTTCTACGAGTTAGCGATGATTACCGCTCCTATGAAGATATGTAAATGTAAGTCGGTCGCATGCGAAGCTGATTCCTGGCAACTGCACTTTCGAAGCTATCAAGACTTTCATCCATGTTTACACTACCTTTCATGGGTTTCGTCATTTAAAACTATGATATCAGCATCGAGATTAGAAATTATTACTTATAATTAATTATTCATAGAATCTTTTGTCATTCATGAGTTGGTGACGAGTACTACAAGTTTTAATATGGCATTAATGGATGCGAATTAGCATGGAGTTAGTTTTTTCTAATCCAGAAAAAGTTTCTGAAATGTCTTTAAATGACTTTAAATCATATTTGTAATTGCTTTTTACTTCTTGTATCTGACTATGCCAACAGATTAATTTAAACTAGCTGAAGAAAGTTAGCCTTCTTAATTCAAGAAGAAAATCATTGGTGCTGTTGGTCAAAATTATTGCCCAACAATCTGACTGACTTACAAATAAATATGTGCTTTTATTATTCTATAGATATACGTTAACGGTCCTAAACATTAGAATATTCTTTTTATATCCAAAATTGGAAAGATAAGCACTCACATAAAATGCCGTAATGGTGCGTAGTTAAATAAATAATATCCTCGATACTTTATTTGGAATGAAATAACGTTATACTTCTGCATAATGTGTATATAAAATCAAATGGTTATTAAGCATAATTGTTGTTTGTGTAAAATAAATGAAAACTATTAAATAAAACCTAGAAAAATATTTTGTTCATTCATTAATGAACGAATGAATGAACAAAATCTTTGTTTGCAGAAAACAGAAAATTAATCATTTTGTAATTTACCTCAGGGGCAACATTTGAATGACTTTGAAGTTGCAGTCGTGTTTTCACTACATCTAAAGGCTGCATTAAACTAATTTCACAGAATCCTGCAGAACCACCTGAAAGAGATTGTAACACAACATTTTTGAAAAAAGGGACTGGGGGAGGACCTCCTCCGGCTTTGTCCGTCATATTGGCAATTTATGTAGATCTCTTTTTTCCACCTACAGGTTATTCAAGTTCCTAATGATTTGAAATCTTTTATTTTTGAGGTTCTTCTGATCCCGGTTGCAAAATATTCTTTGGCTTTTTGCTTGATTTAGTTAGTGCTCCATAGGTCGGTTAGGCCCCATAAAATTTTGTATCCAAAAAATGATTTTGATAAATTTTGTGCCAAAACTAACTGCGCATTTTGAAAATGAACAATTTTACCTACAGAAAATTGTTCATTGTGTTAAGCCAAAGTAAAAAAATTATAAATGTAAAATTCTGTTTTAAAAAAAATATAATAAAAAATATATATTATTTAACATATATTTTAAACGTCAAACTTAATTATCTTAGATCATTTTCAAAAATATTTAAACTTCGACTTTGTTGAAAATCAAATATTCTTCATGCAAAACTGTTGAAAATTGATTTACTAAGACAGCGGCCTCTCTCTACGAAAACAGTCGCTAACGCCTATTGTGTGTTAAGCTTACAAGAAAATCATATCTAAGATTTCATGTTCTGAAAGATCTTAGCCCTCTCTAAGGGCTGCCTACAAATTATTTTCCAACCATCAGTTGATAAATATATATATCTTCCATACACTTTGCGTAAGCCTGTGCAGATAAGGCTTTTAGTTCCTTCAGCGAATTCTCTTTTACCGATTCAAGCGACTCAAAACGCTTACCACACAGGAGCAATTTGAGTTTCGGGAACAGGAAAAAGTCGCACGGCGCCAGATCTGGCAAATGTGGTGTCTGAGCGATGACAGTGGTGCCGTGTTTGGTAAAAAAATCGCGTACAACAAGAGCCGTGTGCGATGTAGCATTGTCGTGATGACGAATCCAATTGTTGGCTTTCCACAAATCTGGTCTTTTCTTACGGATGGACTCACGCAAATGCCGCATAACGCCGAGGTAATATTCTTTATTGATGGTATGACCCTCTGGCAAAAATTCGTAATGAACAACACCGCGGTAGTCGAAAAAAAACAGTGAGCATAATTTTAATTTTCGAGCGACTTTTCTGGGTTTTGGCTCATTTTCGAAGCGACATTCGCTCGATTGTTGACTGGTTTCGACGTCATACTCATAAACCCATATCTCATCACCTGTTATGATAAGTTTCATGAATGTAGTGTCGTTTTTATGCTCATAAATCATTTCTTCACACACGTTCTTTCGGGATTTTTTTTGCAAAAAATCGAGGTGTTTCGGTGCAATTCGAGCTGCAACGCGTCTCATGCCCAATATATCATGTAGAATGTGGTGAACGGATCCATTTGAGATGTTTAAGTCACGAGCAATCACCCTTTTAGTCATACGACGATCTTCCAGCACAATTTTCTTGATTTTTGTATTTGATGTTGATGTTGATGGACGTCCAAAACGAGGCAAATCTTCGATCACTTCACGACCCTCTTTGAATGATTAATACCATTCGTATGCCTGTGTTCGAGACATAGAAGAGTCCCTGTAAGCTTTCTGCACCATTTTCAATGCTTCAACACACTTCACGACCCTCTTTGAATGATTAATACCACTCGTATGCCTGTGTTCGAGACATAGAAGAGTCCCTGTAAGCTTTCTGCACCATTTTCAATGCTTCAACACATGAAATTTTGTTGAAAACACAAAATTTCAAACAAACTCGTTGTTCAACTAAATTTTCCATAGTAAAAATCGCTAAACGCACTTGAGGTAGTCTCACATTAACAGCTGCTGTAAACAAACTAATTGACAGATGGCGCTCAAACTTGTACCATATGTTTTTTGAAAAAGGTCTATTACTTATTACTTATCTATTACTATTACTTAGTAGTTAACAAACAACAAAATCCGGGTACTTTTTGAGCAGAATGTAGAATAAAATATATAGCATAAATAAGTGAAGACTTTAATTCTATATGAAGTTGCTATTGTAGCTTATCCATATCGTATATTTATATATCAATTTTAAGTAATAAATTAGTTTATAATATAATGCTTCTGATAAGAAATATTAAATAATATGATCATGAAATTGAGACTAACAACTAATGTAATTTGAAACATTTGCAACATATGAAACAAAATTATAGATATAGATTCGATTTGAAGAATCCACAATTGGTATAATACCTAGTGTTTGCTTAGCATCAACCAACTATTAAATACTTAATATTTCTACTTGTTCAAGCCAATATTGATTATAATTAAATAATTAGTATAGTTTATATCATAAAACATCCATATCCATGGTTTTACTTCTGGAACATATATACCCGTGTTTATAAGTTTATTTCAATAAAAAATTGTTTTTATCATAAAATTATAAAATCTTTATTACAATATTAACAAATTATTTAAAAAATTAAATGCATTTCTTTTGTAAAAATTCATAAGCATACTCAAATACTAATAACATAATTGCACCACCTGGACCCAATCTCATAACTTTCGGTACCAAACCTTTGTACAATGCACGGAATCCTTCTTCTCTGTAAACTGTAGCAATAGAACCGAATGTTGATTTGTATTTTATTATACCCGGTTGTGGTTGTGGACCTTGTATACGTGATTTTGCAACATCGAAAGGTATATTTACAAAGCAGGCCAGAGTGCCAGATGTGAAGCCAATAAGTACTTTACGGAAGAACTCTTTTGTATTATCTTCATAAGCAGGTACAATATTTTTGACACTGTGATAAAAACCGAAATAAACCATATTAAAAACACCATTACGACCCATAGTTGCTGTAACGCCTTTATTTAAACCACGAAAACCAAGACCGTCCTGTTGAACGATTCTTTTTGTAACTGCCCAAGTGCCAAGAGTTTCTTTCATCTTTGTACGATCTGCTTGTTGTGCCACTTTAACAACCTCAAATGGATTGACGGCAATAGCTTCAACCAAACCTGCTGTCAAGCCCGCAAGAGAAAATGTCTATAAAATGATATTAAATTATGTTTAAAATAAAAAAATTCAATTGCTAACCAATGGAGTTGGTGCAGGAGCTCCAAATAAAAACAATGGTTTCGTTTGTTCAAAACAAACGAATTTAATGGCACGTTTTGGTGTTTCAGCTATCACTGGTGGAAGAATGCCTTTCCAAAACGAAAATAATCCTTCATTGCGATACATTTTCGCAAAACAGTCAAACACACCTTTATAATGATTCTGTAAATAAAAAATGATATATAATTTTAACAATTGAAATTTACTATATTATATTAACATATGTCTATATATATAAAGATATATTATTATGTATTATATATACTATAGATAATCTTTATAAAATGTTCAAAAAGATTTTATTTGCTGTTTTTTCATAAATATAGAAATTGTATTTAGATATTTAATTTAATAACTATAGTATAGATCAGGGCTCTCCAAAGCACGGCCCACGGGCCTCATGCTGCCTGCGGCTAACATTTGTGCGGCCTGCGACTAATATTTGTGCAGCCTGCGACTTATATTTGTGCGGCCCTCGATATATTTCTAATCTACCACAATTAGACAAATTTTTATTTATTGTGTTTTAGTAACATTACATTCCTTTATTTTTATGCTATCCCAAATAAATTAATTAAAATGTTTTAAATAATTTATTATAGTTAACGTTAGTTTACTCAATTGACAAAGGGTTTAGTATATATTTTTTTGTAAAACTTAGTTAAAAAAACTCGTATCCAGTGCCATAGGTCATTATATTAAAAATAAAATATTTTTCGTATGGCAACAACTAATATTATTAATACCGATATTGATAAAATTCATATAATAAAAAGATAAATTAATAAAGAATTAATAAAACTAAATTTATTATGAACCTATGTTCCAAACTATTCAGTGATTTGTATTGACCCGTAATTTTATCTAGTTTGGAAAGCCCAGATATAGACAAATATACACTTAGATGACTCTTTCGAATTTAATTTTTTGATTGCTTAGTTTTACAGCAACAAAGCTTTGCATCTGTCTAAGTGTGTACAAAAGCCAAAGTCTTAGAATTGGATTTTGAAAGCCTTTAAACTAAATTATTCTTTAGGTCTACATTTAGATTATTCTATAGTTCGTTGTTACTTTATAGAATTTCATAGTCGAATGCCTTAATTTAGCCTAAACTGATCATTTGTACAGATACTGTTTAGATCTTCCCATTTAGGTTGGATTGGCTAGTAGTCTGTCAACAAGAACAAATTTCTAGTCAAAATCTAAGGAAACCACATTGTTGTGAATGTTCTCGGAAATTCAATTAACATATTAAGAATTAAACTGTATGTACTCAAACAGTGCCAGTAATGAAATGGGCTTAACTAATTAGTGAGGGAGTCTGTTCATAGTGCCACTAATCATAAAATAAAATCAGCCTGTCTTCTTTTAATGTTTTCAGTATGAAATTTTGTATATCATACAGCTATGTCATAATTATTATTATGGGAATAATATGAAACCATTTAACAATATAAAAGAAGTTTGCAAAATCATGGCAAGAACTTAAGTTAGTTACGATAACCCGAATAAAATGAACACTTTTTACTATGTCCACATGCTTCAGTAAGAAAAACAGAAACTGACAATTCAATTGCTACTACTGATTTTGACATCTTTTCAGCCTTGTAGTAGTAATCTAGTAAACAAAAATCACACTCTACAAGTTTCTAATCATACCTATTCTGCTGCATAGTACAAAAGCTTGAACAATTACCAACAGTGATGAGAATGCTTTAGGAGCATTCGAGAGAAGAATATTTCGAAAGTTCTATGGTCCTTTACGCGTTGGCAACGAGTATCGAATAGAGCTGTATGAGCTACTCCGACTTTGCTGGCTTGGTCATGTCGTGCGAGTGGAAGAACGTACTCCGCCTAAAAAGGTGTTTCATTCTGTACAAGTAGGTGAAAAATGCGGTAGAGAACGTCCGCATCTCCGGTGGAAAGACCAGGTGACCAATAATTTGGGGGCGCTCGGTGTTATAACATAACTACTAAAAACTGATTAATTCATTTTAATTAATAAATTGTCTTATAAATATGAATCGTAAAAAATTCAATTTATATTCAGTTAAGATACGTTAAATCCGAGATCCATTTATTTTTATACTACCACTACAAAAATATGATTACACTATTTTTAGCAAAATCTTATTAGCGTTTTTTAGATGAATTGAAATATTTACATATTTTAATCAATTTATTCAAGTATCTGTCACATCTTAATAATTATAGTACTCGATTTGAATACATCATTAATACCAATTCGCTTTATTATAACTTCTAGTAATTACTTATAATGTAAATATTTTGCATAAATATTATAATAAATGTTTTAAATAATCTTGAATAAATTACGAAAAATTGTGAACTGAATTTGGATAACATTCAATAGATATTTATTTTTGGTTTCATGTCCAGTTAATTACAAATGTTAAAATTTAATTAAATTATAACCAGTTTTTTTAATTTAACTTTCAATTATTAATTAAAAAATTTGCAATGTACAAATATCTTAATTATGTGGTTTGTGTTCTCATTTTAAAGATTTCAATTTCAGTTTTTTTTATTTCCCCTGAAATTTTATTTTTACAAATTAAATACCTATATTCATTGAATCACTCGTTTTTCTGTTCATATGATATTGATAAAAAGTGTTCAGGTTTGTTGAAAAATAATAATAGACCTTTAAAATACTAAAAGCAGAATGTTCTTACGTGAAGTATTTAATAAAAAAGTGAATAAAAAGTAAGTAGAGAATAATATTAGATGTACCGGACTCTCTATTGAATCTTCAATTAATTGTATTGAATATTTTATTATATTTATGTGTGTATATATCCACATAATATTCGTTCAATTCGGTTTTTCAACTATATTTAACGAAAACATAAAATATCTCTATCATAAACTTATTTGTAAAAATAAGCTTCCAAACAACGAGCAATACGCAAGGACAGCAAATCTATATATTATATACCTATATAAAAATAATGTCTCTACAAACAGAA